CTCCCCCTGCCCTCCCCAATCCCCATGCCCTCACTCTCCCCGTGCCCTCCCCGTGCCCTCCCTCTCCCCCTGCCCTCCCTCTCCCCATGCCCTCCCTCTCCCCATGCCCTCCCCTCTCTCCGCACTCACCTGGGTGTCCAGGCCAGGGCTGTGTGGAGTTTGCTTTGCTCCTGGCAGATGAGAAAGTGATGCAAACTTCGTCTTAAGTTTGGCTTTGTAAAATGCGAGCTGACAGTGATTAGCAGAGTTGGTTCCTGTTCCGTTAAAACTGGCTCCTGTGTCGGTTCCCCAGGGTGCTGCAGCCCAGAACCGGCGCCGGTCTCTTCTGTGCTGAGACGCCCTCCCCTCCGCTCCCCTGCCTCACTGCGTGGGAATGTGCCTGAAGCCTTCTCGCCTAAGGGGCTGGGACAACCTGTTGTTGAGTAAAAGAACAATCTGTGGTCACACTGCAGTGAGTGAGCATCCTGCTGCCCTCCCCGTCATCCCGGACCACCTGGCCCCCGTCTGGAACAATTCCCCCTTTCCACCTCCTGCCAACCCCCCACTGAGTCCCTTGTAGGATATATAAACCTTGTGTAAAAAAATGAAGTTTGCAGCTTGATCAGAACTCTTGTCTTGCTGCCTTCCTTGTGTCTCCTGTCCCTCTCATTCCTCCCTCTAGGTTCTAGTTGACGTCCCGCGGGACGGGACACTTCTGGAAGCCACAAGTCTGCAAGAACCATCACCTGGCTGAACGGTGCTGCAGGGCTCCAGGGGCCGGGCCTCCCAGCCTTTGCAGCTGCCGGAGCCTTGTCCATTGCACACCCTGCCAGTGGCTGGAGCATCTTCCTCGCACGCCTTGGCTTCTGGTCCCTTCCTCCAATTTAAAGCCAACAGCTCAGCATCTTGCCTCAGGATTCACATTCGCCTTCTTTTGTCCCCAGTGTCCCTTTGTCCCTCTGGAGGTGGCCTGTAGGGCTCAGCGGGGCAGTCCCGGGTAATCACCCCATTTCAAGACCCTCACATCAGGTGCCCCTGCAGTCTCCTGCCAAAGAAGAGAAATGGTCCCAGGTCCTCGGGATTTGGACCTGGACATCTCTGGGGGCCCTGAGGGCTCCCTGGTTGGCAGCTTTATGGGGTGAAGGACCTGACTTCCGGGAAGCAAGCAACCGGCACACCTGGGCAGCTTGTTCCTCTGGGGCCAGCAGGCTGCCGGGGGTCCTGCCTGCCTGGGCAGGGGGCAGGGCTGGCTGGTGCATCGTGCCCAGCTGGGCGGCTGGGCCCTCTCTCCTGACTGTCCCGCCCCACTGAGCCCCCTGGCCCAGCACACCCTCAGGATCATGGGACTCCCTGCTCCGGGCTGATTATGGCGAAGAGAGGAAGCAGAAACACACAAGCAAGCTTTTTAACGCTGCTCCTTGGTATCCAGTTTGTCATTCTCCCCATTGGCCAAGAAGCAGAAGCCAAGGTGGCCATCGGTCTACTCAGTCCGCCCCCGTGGCTGGGGAACTGGGGTGACGCTGAGCTGTGTCTCGGCAGCTTGCTCTGGGCTGTGGACAAGCGACCCCTCCTCTCTGGGCCTTCTCCCTCTGACTCGTTACATGTGGTACCAGAAACACGTCACAGAGGTGTCGTGATGCACCGGGAAACCCAGCAGAACCCTGGGGACACGGTCAGAACCCACAGCCGCTGGCTGCTAATTCCCTCCCCGGTGACGACTGTGAGAACAGCAGCTGTGGCCTTTGTCTGTGGTCACTGCAGCCTTAGCTTCCTTCTCTGTCGCCTTGTGCTGAAGAGAACACCTCGGAGTTTGAACTGGGGAAGCTTCGGCCTGGAAATCTTCACGCCGCCCAGCTGGAGCAGAGTGAAGCCAGACAGGTGCACAGCGCTGTGTGAACGTGTCACGCGGCTCTGCAGGGCTGTGGGTGTGCTTTGTCCATAAACGAAATCTGCTTGCTCTTCATGCTTCAGAGTGGAACGCGTGTGATTTTTAGTAGCAGATTTATAATTGGCTTCCACTGTTATTTATTAAAAGTGATTACTTTTCACGTTGACATCTCAACTAGTAACGCGGAAGGTCAGCCCTCACCTCTCCCTGCCAGCAGGTGCCAGTTTCAAACGGGGGTGTCGCCGATTGGAAGCTGCCGATGTTTAAATGAGTAGAACAAAATCCTTGTGAACGGTTTTTGAACTTTAATTTAGCATTAAATTACTGAAATGAAATATCCACAACAAAGAGGCTTTTGGGATTCTATTGTTCTAAATGCAGAGAAAAGTGGAATGAATATGCATGAGGCGGGCAGGGAGGGCCTGAGAGCCCGGGCAGGCCTCGCGGTTCTAAATCGCTAATTGTTTCCAGAGTCCTATTTCCGCGGCTGGGGTGCTGTCGCAGGTCTGGCAGGTGCAGGGGGGGTCTCACGCTGGGGACTCCGCCTGCAGGTTCCACTCTGCCCAGGCCCGGAGGTGCAGCTGCAGGCAGCGTCCCGCTGTTCCTGGCTTTCCTCCTCCGTGGCCTCAAGGGCTTTAGTCCTTCCTGACGGCCGTGGAGCACCTGCCTCTCTGTGTGCTGGCTCTCACGCTTTCCTGGAGAAGCGCCTGAAAGCGGAAGTGCCCCCCCCCCAGTCCACGCCTTTCAGATGCCTTCCTCGATGAGTGACAATCCATGCCTGCGCGGGGTCCCCAGACGCTGGGGGACACGCCTCTTGGGCTGATCCTGGAGAAACAGGAACCTCATCCCAAGATGGTTTACAGGTGGCAAGCAGAGCTGCAGGCTGTGTTAGACAGTGACTTTCAGTCTGGAAGGCTACGTGGCTGCCACTTGGTGTTGAACACGCAGCTCCGTCGAGAAGCTGCCGGCAGGCTGGCTGGTTCTGCCCTCCGTGGAGAGTCCGTCTCCTCGGCTGCAGGGCGGGAGGTGGCGCCAGCCCCACAGGGGCCTGTGATGTGGGTGGCAAGGGCAGTGGGGCGTGTGCCCCGAGCCGGGAGGGCAGAGCGGAGGGGAGGGCTCCTCCCGCTGTACTTCCGGTCCACCCTCGTCTCCCTCACGGCCCACAGCTGAGACACGGTCTGTCCCCCACTCAGCGGTCTGTCCCCCACTCAGCGGTCTGTCCCCACTCAGCGGTCTGTCCCCCACTCAGCGGTCTGTCCCCACTCAGCGGTCTGTCCCCCACTCAGCGGTCTGTTCCCCACTCAGCGGTCTGTCCCCCACTCAGCGGTCTGTTCCCCACTCAGCGGTCTGTCCCCACTCAGCGGTCTGTTCCCCACTCAGCGGTCTGTCCCCCACTCAGCGGTCTGTCCCCACTCAGCGGTCTGTCCCCCACTCAGCGGTCTGTCCCCACTCAGCGGTCTGTCCCCCACTCAGCGGCTCACGCCTCTCTGCTCTGGTTTTGTGAGCAAAATATGCAAAGTCCGAGAACCAATTTGATTTTCATTTTAAACTTAAATCCACTTTAAATTGAAGCAGAATGGATCTATTTTTGTAATGTTGAATATATTAAATGTCTTCTCCTAATCGACTTAATAAAATGTTCTTGAGCCTGTTTTATGCTGATGGGTATTTTAGGCAATTAGGAAGGTAGCCGCGATGCTCACTTCGCTGGAGCAAGTGCGGCTGCCCAGATAGTCCTCGGTGGCTGGGGTCACCAGAGCCGGGCTGCTGCGGGGAGCGCCGTGGCGTTTGTCCTTCTGTGTGCAGCGTCCAGCCCGGGTCTGTCCCACAGACTCTGCTTCTATGTGTTTGGTAATTGGCTGAGAAACAAAAACTGGAACTGTAATCCTTCTAAAAATATTTATTTACTCCTGCGTGGGTGGCAGGAGCTGAGTCGCCGGAGGTGTCACTGCTGCGTTGGTGGGAAGCTGGCGACAGGAGCTGGGGCTGGGACTTGAACCTGGGACTCTGCTGTGGGTGTCTCAACTGCCAGGCTAAGTACCAGCCCTGGAGGCTGCAGACCCTGAGTGGCGAGCACTGGCCCTCCAAGCCCCTACTGTGTCCCCAGAGAGCTGGACGGGCTGCTACGGGTGTGCACAACCGGCTCTTGGGGCAGAAGCCGTGACTGGAGGTACCTGCCCACTTCCCAGGTGTAAACACTCACTCGGATGAGGGGCGGGAAGAGATGCTCACTGGGTTCTCGTGAGCCGGGCAGGGCAGAGCCCGCTCGTCCCACTGCTGGTCTCTGTGCCCAGCTGGCGCTGGTGGGCTGGGCAGGCGGAGCCCTAGGCAGACACATCCTTGGCAAGGGGTCCAGGCGGCACCTCAGCACCACCGCGCGGTGGACCTCGTGCCTCCGTGTTAGTGCAGCTGTCCCCGACGCCCGGGGACTTGCCGGAAGAAGGTCGGGGGCCGAAGCTCAGCGCCCCTCCAGGTGGGGCGGGGACGCAGTCTCCTGCCGCCAGTGCCCCTTCCGTAGCATCTGTGCTTGCTGTGCGCGGTGTGGACCTGCGGGCTGGGTGCGCTCACCACGCCGCCTCGGCACGGCTGAGTTTGCGCTGGCGTTCCTCGAGGGGCCGGCAGTGTGTCCTCCGGCCCCGTGAGTAGGGTCGGCCACCCTGCCCAGACGCCGGGCTCCTGTGTTTGTCCGCCAGGCCCTTTCCTGCTCCGCCTCCCTCACAAAGCTTTGCCGCAGGACGAGGCCTTCACGGCTCTCGGGCTCTGAGCCCCACTCTTCCCTGGAGGAAGCTTGCTGGTGCCAGCGGCCCCTCTCTGGGGCTGTACCTGTGGCTCTTCCTGACTCGCCCACTCTGCTTCTCACACATTCTGTACAAGAAGAAAGGGAGCCAGTGCCTTGCCCAAGGACACGCAGCACAAATGCAGGTGTCCAAGCTCCTGCCTCCGGGGAGAAAAAAGGCCCAGCCCGGGGTCACCCGGAGACCCCAGGAGCCTGCGTGCTGCTCGGGCGGGGGTGGGGCTCTCCTGCCGGGCGCCTGCTTCCTGGGAAGATTGAAGGAGGTGACAGCAGGACTGGCCAGGCGTCTCCGCACGGTAAGCAGGTTGGCTACCGCGTGGGGCGGAGGTTCGGGGTCTGTTTCTACAAGCACCTCCAAGCTGCCGGCTGTCTTTCTGGGCACGGACACGTGGATCTCACTGCGCCAGCCAAGCAGCGAGTGCAAGAGCACGCTGTGTGTGTGTGTGTGGGGGGGGGCGCCCGGGGGGCCCGCCCCGGAGTGGGAGGCGCTTGCTCTGGAGGACGTGGCAGCCCTGTTGCTGCATGGGACGCTGCAGCCTGTCCAGCAGGAACTGGAAGGTTCTAGATGGTCTCAAGGGGCCTGGGCAGGGACGCGTCTTGGGCACCTGGACTGTTATGTGCATCGCAGGACGGGGAATACTCTGCAGCCCTCTCCGAGCTCCCCCAAAGCTCTGCCCGCAGAAGGCGCCCTCAGCACCCAAGAGGTTCACTCCTCCTCCCTGGCCCCCCCACCCCGAGCTCTGCCTCCTGGCGCCGTTCCTGGGTGTGCCTGGGGCTGCCAGGGGCAGTGGGACTGTGTGGTGCAGGCTCCCGGGGAGGTGTGGGCCCGCCAGCTCTCTGATTTGCTTCATGGGCCCGTGTGTTGGGGTGATGGTGCCACCCCATCACTGGGGAAACGCAGAACAAGGCTGCCGGAGGGTCCTGGGCCACTTGTGCCCCCAGGAATGCTAACCAGGGCTTTCACTTACGGAGGTGCACGGGCACAGGGGAAGCTCCAAAAGCACCCAAAGTGACCCCTGGGCTCAGGCTCTGGGCCCCTGCCCAGAGTTCCCTGTGGACTCTCGCGGAGCACGGCAGGCTGAGCACAGGGAGTGGGCACGCTTCTCTGCGTTTACATAGATGGCGGCGCGTGACTCCCGCTGGTTTGCGTTCTCCCCCGCTAACGTGTCCTGGGGGTGACGCCTCTGTGCAGTCCCAGCTCTCTGCAGCGTCTGAGGGGCATAAGGGTTTGTAGAGCCGGGCCCTGCGCGCTGTGGCTAGGGCCAGGCCTCCCCGGCACACAGGTGCCCCCGTGAGCGGGACTCGGGGTGAGCGGGCGCAGGAGTGCAGGAATGGCTGCAGGTGTGGCTCCCCGCGTGGCTGGACCTCGCTCAGCTGCTTCCTGGAAAGCGGCACTAGTGCCCCGGGCCCGCGTGTGCCCCGCGTCTGGGCTGCTGCGGGGGTGCGAGAGGGCGGCCTTGGCCGTGACGCAGATGCTTCTGTGCTTAGGGCGGAGGCTGTGTCTCCGCTGGAGTTCAAAAGGCCTGGAGTGGGAGGAGGGGCCCAGCTCTTTGCCTCTCTGGCCTGCTCGGCTGCGCGGACACGCTGAGTGGAGATGCCCAGCCTGGGGGTGCTGACCAGCTCCCTGCCAACCGTGGGGCCTGGGGGCTCAGGGCGTGGTCTTCCTCGGCCAAACCCACCCTGGGGAGGGTGGCACCTGGGGGAGGGAGCAGCGCTGAGCCGGCCTGCTGCCAGGGCCAGATGGAAGGGCTTTTCCTCTGGGCTTGCTCGGACCAGTATCCAGCCCCAGGGCAGACACTGAAGCGACTGAGGGCTCCTCAGGCCTCGATGCCCACGGGTGCCTGGTCTTACCCAGGGCGTGAGCGGCGAGGTCACCCCGGCTGGCATCTCAGAGTCCTCTGATAATCACAGGTGACTGCGATGGCGCCGAGAAGGCCCCCTGTGCTCTCAGAGGCACCAGGAGGGTGGGCTCACATTTGTGGAGCGGCTGGGGGAGCCTGGGGAGGGGTCCGTGGACACACCTCTGTCCTGAGGGCCATCAGGACGGGCAGGTCCTTGCAGATGAGCCAGGACCTCGGGATGGACAGAGCCTGCTGGGAGCAGCGCGACTGAGAGCAGTGTGGGGGCTCCGGGTTAGACCTCAGTCAGTAGGGACGGAGCCAACCGGGGCTGCGACCGAGCAGGGAGAGGGGCTCGGCTCCCCACCGAGGGGTGAGGCGTCACAGGGGCTTCCGCGGGTGAGGAGCGCTTCTCTCCGAGCTCCGGCGAGCACTCGGCACGGGCAGTGTTCCCGCTCCTTTCCTGCCTTCGCGTGCTTGGCGGGAGGGACCCGAGAGCGGCTTGAGGAGCCCGACAGCAGCACTGGGGCTGGGCCTTCCGTGCGTGAGCTGCGGTGTGTGTTTGCTTTCTCAGCGCTCAGGGGCTGGAAGTCGGAGGTCACGCTCTCAGCCGGGCGGTTTCCCCCAGGCCCCCCTCCTGTCTTCCCCGTGCGTCTGGTCCCTCCGAACGAGGTCCTGCCCAATCACCGCTCCGCAGATCCCATCTCCGAGCCCAGCAGCACTCTGAGCTCCTGGGGTGTGACTTCCACTTGGCAGGGCGGCTGCTCTAGACCCACGCAGAGGAATGGGTTACGTGTCCAGATGTCTTTTTTTTTTTTTTCTAAAGATTTGTTTATTTGAAAGACAGAGTTACAGAGAGGCACAGGGAAAGGGAGAGGGAGAGGGAGAGGGGGAGGGAGGGGGGAGAAGGAGAGAGAGAGAGAGAGAGAGAGAGAGAGAGAGAGAGAGGTTTTTCATCTGCTGGTTCACTCCCCAAATGGCTGCAATGGCTGGAGCTGGGCTGATTCAAAGCCAGGAGCCAGGAGCTTCTTCCGGGCCTCCCACGCGGGTGTAGAGGCCCAAGGACTTGGGCCATCCTCCACTGCTTTCCCAGGCCACAGCAGAGAGCTGGATCAGAAGTGCAGCAGCCGGGACTCGAACCGGTCCCCATATGGGATACTGGCACTGCAGGCAGTGGCTTTACCTGCTACGCCACAGCGTCAGCCCCAGATGCCTACTTTAATCGATGGTTGCCACATGGTGAGGACCCTGACAAGAAGGTGAGGCAGTTCGGGGGGGGGGGTTCCTCTTGTCCCTAGGGTGGCTGGAGGCCAGGCTGGAAGCAGTCGTCACCTTGAGCCCGAACAGCGCCCCCGCTGGCTATGGCAGAACTGGTGGGGTCTCTGTCCCGCTCGGGTTCCCGGGCTCACCTGTGCTCCTGATGTGCGGGGGCGCCCTGCGGGAAGTGGCGGACGCTGCAGGCGCCCGGCCGGGTCCTCCAGCCCCGCTTCCCACGCTGGGGCCTGCAGCGCCTTCCCTCGGGGCTCTCCCTGCGGCCAGAGCCCACTTGTTCTGGGCCCTGTTCTCCGTGCTAGACGCTGTCCACCAGTGATTGGACAGGCCTGGTTCCCTCGTCCCTGACTCAGGGCCATGTCTGTCATCTCCCAGAGGTCCCTGACGGGATGAACACCGGCTGTCCCCCTGTAACTTGCTGGTCTTCCCACGTCCTGTTCCTGCCCCGACCGGGCCTCCTGGGGTCATGGCTCAAATAAGCAGTGCGCTCAGATCTCCCGCAAGCTCTGCTCCTGGCGGAACCCACGCTACCACGTGCGAGTCTTCCCTCTCCAGGAAGAGCTGGTGCTCATTTAATGAGTTGTTTTATTTGTGGGGACACATTCATCTGCTATGATTCAAGTAAAAAGAACACAACCTTCCCAGGATTGTGCCCAACCCGTCCGCCTGCATCGCCCACAGGCCGGCGGGGAGCGCAGACACCGGGGCCCGGTCCTGGCGCTCTGCACCGTGCCTGGCCGACCTGTGCTCGTCTACCGGGGCAAGCAGCGGGTGCTGCTCGGTCTCTCCAGGGGCGGCGTGAGGGGCACGCGCCAGCCTCCTCATGAGCGTGGAGCTCCTCCCAGAGCTGCAGTGCCGCGAGCCACCAGGGGCAGACCAGGCTTCCACCTTGGCCCCACCACGGCCTTCTCCCCGTTCATTCACTGCCTGGGCTTAGCGGACGCTGCCATGCGTGGCTTCTCACTGCTCCGGAATCCCAATGTGCCCTTGAGATGCCAAGGTTTTCAATAAACAGATGGCAGGGAGGCGCTACAGCAAAATGTCTGGCCACAGCTGACACTCCCCTCCCCGAGGGGCCAAAACAAGGAACAGCCGGGCTGTCCAAAGGAGAGCACAGGACGCCAGCGGAGCAATACGGAGTGTGCGGCCAAAGAGACAGAAGCACGGGTGGAAGAGACGCGGGGCTCCAGGTCTACCGTGCCACGGAATGCACCCGCCTGGCGCCCACCACAGAGCCGGTAGGCGAAACGCGGTCCACGGCACACCAGGTACGACTCAGGCGGTCCACACTGACAAGGGTGAACCCAGAGACAGAGAAAAACAATACAAGGAGACTCCAGAGAGACTGTGTATTTGTAATCAATAGATAAATGTATTTTTGGTGCAAAAAACCGTGAAACCATGCAGCTTTTTCCTAATGTGCATTTTAAATGAGCTTTTACAAAATGCCTCATATCATGCGAATTTTTTTTTACACCAAAATAAACTTTTGATTCCATTTCCCACGAACTTTGCAAAGCATTCCAGTGCTGCGTGGTCTCGTGTGTGTGTGGAATCTAAGACAGTGGATCTCCAGGGCGTCGGGAGTGGGAGAGCGCGCATCAGAGGCTGGGGAGGGACAGCAGTGGGGAGGGGGAGGCTGCTCACTGGGCGTCAGGGACCGTGCGAGAGGAAGGGGTTGTGTCCTGGCGTGCAGGGGGACGGGAGTTAACCATGGCACCTGTCGGTTCTCTATGGTCTCACCCCAAAGCCGGGAGGAACTCCGGAAGTGCTGGGAGTGCTAATCACCCCGGCTGATCATTATACAATGTATACATGTATGGACCCCAATGGGTATAAACAACTAGGATGTGACAATTAAAATGAAATAAAACTTTCAAGGTTTTCTCCTAGATCAAAGGAATGTTATACCTTCTTGAAAGTAGCTGACTGGGGCCGGCACTGTGGCCTAGTGCCACTGCCTGCTTCCCATATGGGCACCGGTTCAAGTCCTGGCTGCTCCACTTCCGATCCAGCTCTGCTGTGGCCTGGGAAAGCAGTGGAGGATGGCCCAAGTCCTTGGGCCCCTGCACCCACACAGAAGATCTGGAAGAAGCTCCTGGCTCCTGGCTTCGGATCGCTGACAGCGAAATAAACGTGGATCCATCATTAGGAAACCCTTGTATTACTGAAGGTGTGCATTCGATCCATTTGTTGAAATGCTGGTCATAGCGTCTGAAATTACCCCTCACAGAGGCCATTTTTCTTTCAAAGCGGGCTCCTGGGGACCACGCGGAGGTTTCTACAGGGCTTTTTCTCCTCCAGGGCTCGTCTTGTTCTTGGCAAAAGCCTTCTGCACCCCGGAGAGGAAGGAAACCCTCAGAGCCTCTGGAGCGAGCACTGACCCTGTGCAGGCAGCATCCGGGAGACGACCCGCAGCCACGGGCTCCGGAGGGTGTGCTGACCTGGTCAGTGCAAACGCGGCAGATGGATGGTTTCCTGAAAACGCGCAACGTGGCGGGAGCGCTGCCGACACCATCAGCTGGGCAGTGGGAGGGGAGCCTCTTGCTGGAAGCCCACTTTCCCGGACGAGGGGAGGCTGCCGGCACAGAGAGGGGAGCACTCTGGCGTCTGCAGCAGCAGCTGCCTGGATTCCCAGCTTGTTTAACCAAAGCCCAGCCATGTGACCCTGGTGACCACAGGACGAACGCGTGCTCCCCACTCCCAAGAGCCGCACGGGTGTTAACCGTTCCACCGTGAATGCTTACTCGGGGATCAGGCTTGAGTGCTTTGGCTCGAGTGTATTTCTTGGTGATTATTTTATGGGTAATTTGCACTGTCATTGGAAAGATGCGTGTCTGCAACGGGGAGACTGTTATTTTTCCATCCTTCAGATTCAACAGAACTTTTCTAAGACGTTGGTGAGCTGGGGTCTTGGGAACCACGTTCAGAACACTCCGCAGTTCTATCTCCCGCCCCTTTGTGGGTCCACTGTGGACAGAGAAATCCAGCCCCGCACAGCTCTGGAGCCCGGACCACCAAAGGCAAGCGTGTGCTCCTTTAAGGCTCCAGAGCCTGCGCGGGGTCCCGGTCCACCCCGTCTCCACCTCGGTCTCTGCGTGGGCTTCTTCTCCCCTCCTCTCCTTCTTTTAGGGGTTGCCCTGTTAATTCTGACATTCTTAACTTGGATATATCTTCAGGGCCTTTTTCCAGATGAGGCCACTTCTCAGACTCTGGGCATCGGAACGTGGCCCTGTTCTGGGGCCGCCGTCGGCCCCGCCTCCTCCTCCAGGTGTGGCAGGCGGACTCTGAGCGTCCTTGGCCTGTCACTGGCCGTGTGTGGGGCTCAGAGGACCGTTCTGTCTCTCCAGCAAGTAAACCCTACCTGGTTTCTGGTGCTGCAGCTCCCCCTGCCCAGACCCTGCTGCTTCTAGAAGAAGGCGTTTGGTTTCCTAGCCTTACTCAATCGGTTTATTTGATTTTTACAGTAGGCGTCCCAGACTTGAAGGTAACAAACACACGAGTGCATGACACCAAAGTCGAGCACGTCCCTCTCCCGTCGTGGGCCCCGCCTGCCTCCTGAACAATGAACAGAGACGGCAGCAGCTGTGCAGCTGCCGCAGGACCAGCAGTGGGGCGGCAGGCAGGCGGGCGGGCGGAAGCCGCGCTCCAGGCCTCTTCAGACACCAAGGGGCCTCGACCTGAAACGACAAGGAACGCCGCTCCTCTGCCCTTCCCCGGGGCACGTGCCTGTCCTTGGCCCTGACCCGCAGCTTGCTTTCTTCACCACTGCCCGCCCATGACCAGCTGAGCTGAAACACAGCTGCTTAGCCTCGACGCCAGGGCGCCCGGCTGAGAGGCGCAGACCTGACCAGTGACGGCGCCGAGGACTGGGCTGGGGGTCTTTGGGTGCCAGAGGCCATGCCCTCCGAGTGGCTCCTGGGAGAAGCACGCTCACTTCAGTCCCTGGGTGTCCTCGCTTTCCTCCCTCGGCTTCCTGACCCGTGACCTCGGACCGTGAGCGGAAATAAACCCCGCCTTTCCCAAAGCAGCTTCTCTGGGAAGTCAGCCAAGCGAGGAGGAGCAGACGGGCACTCACCCTTCACCATTTTCTAAGCTCCCCTCAGTGGTGCTCGAGGGGCAAGCCTGCGGCCCAGCCAGGCCGGGCTGACCGACTGCTGCGTCCTCCAGCCGGTGCCTGCCAGGGCTGGGGTCTCGCTGCGTCCTCCAGCCCGTGCCTGCCAGGGCTGGGCTGACTGACTGCTGCGTCCTCCAGCCCGTGCCTGCCAGGGCTGGGGTCTCGCTGCATCCTCCAGCCGGTGCCTGCCAGGGCTGGGGTCCTCACTGCGTCCTGCGATGTCCTGTCTGTCCGTGGACGAGCGCTCCGGGCAGAGGTGTGGTCATGCGGTTCCATCATGCTCCTTGGTCTTGCCAACCTGGACTGGCACGTGGCTAAGCCACCATAACTTCTTCCTCTGTGAAATGGCTCCTCCACGGGGCTCAGAGAACCGTCCATTTTTGTTGCATTTCTGGGGGATACAACAAGCCAGTGCAAGGAACAGGCGTGTGCACAGTCATTCTCCTCAGGGCCAGTGCCGTGGTGCCGCGGGCTGACCTGCTGCCTGCGGCACTGGCGGTCCATACGGGAGTGCGGGCCCACTTCCCATCCAGCTTCCTGCTCACGTGTCCGGGAAGGCGTGGAACACAGTCCCACAGCTGGCTTCTCCGGCTCCCCGCTGGCCCTGCCCTAAGTGGTGCAGCCCTGTGGGGAGTGAACTCTGTCTCGCTCTCGTGATCTCTTTTCAAGTAAACAAGTCACTCACTTGCGGCAGTCTGGGTGCCCACTGGCAGGCTGGTCACGCACACTGGTGCACATCGTGAACAGGAAAACTCCCGCACTCCCGAGGATGGAAATGACCTTGAGGGGCCCTCTCTGTCCGTGGGGCAGAGCAGGGTGGTGCTGGGCTCCTGGGCTCACGTCCGAGTTCTAGCACTGACCAGCTGTGGGGCCTTGGACGAACGAGCGAGTGCGCTGGCCCCCACTTTCCTCAGGTGGCCCTGCGAGCACTGAATGAGCTGAAGTGTCCATGACATGGAGCACCCGGGGCAGGGACGACCCGTGAATCAGCCATCATACGACTGCTCCTTGAAATGCGACACATGCGACGGCGCAGCTGCAGACAATGCCCACCTCTTTATTTTCTACATTATACACCTGTCACACATTGTATCAGTACGTTCAGCCACTTCCCAGAGGGTCCTGGGATGTCAGGTGATTTTACTTAAATCATTTAATTAACCGCACACAGGCTTGGACTTTGCTGTTCCATTTTGGATTATTTTTTGAAGATTTATTTATTTGAAAGGGAGGGTGACGGAGGGGAAATCCTCCGTGGAGCAGAAAGCACGCACGGAGCGGCCACAGACACGGCCGTAAACATGGTGAGGTCTGACCAAGAGCAGCGCCAGCCGCCCTGTTAGGAGGCCCTCGTGGCCTTCCGGGCGGAGAGGGAAGGGTGGCTGGGCCAGAGGTTGGGCTCTGGACGTGGGGGAGAGACTGCCTTGAAAGGTAATCTAATTTAAATCCAGAGACTCTCCCAATGCCACCTCATTAAAAACAAATGCAACTCACAACCGGGCAGTTCAGAAAATGAACTCGGTGGAGGCACCGAGGAACACGAGCGGCCGCTGCTGTAAGAGCCAAAGCCAACCACTGCCCCTGCAGGCCGCACCCAGTGCCGTGCGTTAGGGCCGGCACATGGGCCACAGCGCGCGTGCTCAGCTCAGCGCGGCCTGGCTTGGCTGTACACTCGGGATGCTCCACCTGCCGCCTCCCCAGTCCACCCCCACATCGCCCACAGACACCGTCCTCTAGGCTGGTGCCCAGAGAGCGCCCAGTGAAGGCCTGCAGCTAGTGGTCCGCAGTGGCCCTGGCTGTGACAGTGACACCGCCACCGGCCAGCCTGGACTTGACAGCAGAAGGCGACCCAGGCAGCTCTCACTGCGGTGCATTTGTTAAGCTGACACTGGTACCGTCTGCGTGCCGGGGCTTGGCGGTGAGAACCGTTACACAGCCGTGGCAGTCTGCGGCTTATCAGTATAGACTTTGCTCCATCTCCACGAATACGCTTGCTTCAGAGTCAATTGTCTGGAATAAGTATAGCTATTTGGACTTTATTTTGGTTAATTTTTTCCCCTACAAGTTATAGTAACTCCTTACTTCCCTTTAAATCTATACTTACCTTGCACGTCAGGCCTGCGTCTCACGATTAGCATCTGGGAGATGCCCGGAAGGCAGGACCGGGGCCGGGTGGGGTATCCCCAGGAGGCAGCAGTGGAGGTGGTGGGGTGACCTGCAGGCCCGTCCCCAGGGTGGGCTGTGGGGCAGGAGCAGCTGCAGCCGCAGCCCCATCGCTGCATCCTGGACTCCTAGGACGGCCCCCAGCGCAGGGGGAAGCACGGCCCACCCGTCCCATCCGTCCTGGCAGTGCCTGCCGACCTGAGCTGAACGCAAACCCAGCCAGGGCTCAGAGCTTCCGGGGTGTGGAAGGGAGGCTGGCGTGTGAGGGTGACAAGGAGAAAGTGATGAATCTTTAATGAATGGAGAGGAGTGTGAAGCTACTGTAAGTGCAGACACATCCTATGCACAAATCCCTGTGACTCAGAGTGAGACAGACAGTCACACACGCCAGGTGAGCTCAGGGCTCGATTCCAGCAGGAGCGACCTCGTCAGAGACAGACGCGCAGGCCCAGTCGCGGTCCTGGGAGGCGGGTGGCTTCCAGGCTCTGCTCACTGCCACCTCCCACCCCACACACAGACTCCTGTCCCGACGGTGGGCGCAGCTCCACGCCAGCCACCAGTGGGGTCATTACCGTGCTGACAGGCATCTCAGGGTCCCAGGAGACTCACTCACTCCCTGGATGGACACACATGGCTGGCACATCTGGATCATGGGATGCCCCTGTGGTCACACCTGGCCAGTTGCTGGAATACCGTGGGGGAGGAAAGCTGGACAGACAAAACAAAAACAACACAAACAAACACCCAGGCTCGTTCATGCGGAGCAGTAACTGGACTGCCTGGATGCTTGTGCCTTTGCCCAAATTTGCAGGTAGAATCCTAATCCTCAACAGGGCTATAGTGGGAGAGAGGAACTTGAAGGCCGAATTAGGGTCTAAGGAGGCCACGGGGAGGCCCCTCTCCGTCAGGCTGCTGCAATCCCCAGAGGAAGAGCCATGAGAACTCTGTCTTTCTCGGACCAAAGTGGAGACGCCACGTGAAGACACAGCCCAGAGGTCGTGTGAGAGCCAGGAAGAGGTCCTGCCAGAGGCGAGCCTGCTGCCAGCTGTCACTCAACAGCCCCAGGGAAGTGCACGGCGTCCAGGTGTCCAGACGGGGGCCGCGGTTATGGCCGCCTGAGCAGACCAACAGGAAGAGGGGTAGGGGTGGTTAGTCCTAAGTCACACAGGGAAGGTGACATGGGGCGGCACTCATCCGACACAGTGGTTAAGATGCCACTTGGAACACCTGCAAGCCATAGACTCCAGCTTTCTGCCAACGTACACCTGGGAGTGTCGCTCCCCCTCTTCGTGGAGGAACGACACAGGACCCTGCGCTGTTCTTTCGTCTGCTCGGCCCTCCCCGGGTTTGCTGCTGGTTCTTCCCGGGTTGGCTACTATCCCTTCCACCTCCGTGGAAGGGCAGTTCCCCCTGGCCACATTCCCCACTTCCGCAGGGGAGCGGCACACCGCCGGCCGGCTCTCTCGGGGGCTGCACGGGTTCCCTTAGATGTTCCCCATAGATGTTCCCGGTGCATGCCGTCTCTCTCCTCCTTTATAGTCCTCCTCCGCCAATCCTAACTCGGCTGCCCACACGCCGAGTACGCTGCTCTCCAATCAGGAGCAAGTCCTACAATTTATTAGTTGAACTGGAGGCAGCTGTGCGGAAGCTGTTTACTTCTCTCCCAGCGCCATATTGTGGGAGATCAGATGCATAGAATAAGTCTTAATTCGAGTAACTTAGTCTAGTCCGGATTGCTCCCCACATGGGAGCAGCAGGTAATGGCCCAAACAGATGGATTCCTGCCCCTGGCTTGGGAGACCCAGGTCCAGCCTGGCTGTGGTGCACATCTGGGGAGTGAACCGGCAGATGGGATCTCTCTCCTGGCCTTACAGATAAAATTATAAAAAGAAATGACATCAGAAGGAAGTAGACACTCAACTCACACCAAATCTCATCAAGCAACACCAGGGAGAGGTCTCAGTGAACGGTTTAACTTCAACAATAGTTCAAAGACACATGCTATGTTCTGAGAATAATTATGCTCTACTGATGTGCTGGCTTATCAACCCAAAAGCATTTGCACAAATGAAACTACACCCTTATTTCTGTGCCTGCAACGACGCGGATTTAAGTAGCAATGTTTGAGAAGCAGCAAACCACACCGTAATCGCCGTATGTAGAATTCTTAGTAACTTCTGAAACTCACCTGACAGGTGCCTTCTGCTTCAGGAAATACGGAACGACATCTTCGCCGCCTAAACAAAGGACCTCACCATCAGCAGGCGGCACACGCGCCTGTGCAGTCTCTAGTCACCCGTCCTCCTCTGCCTGGACTGTGGATGGCTCTGTGACGCGGCAGAGGTGCAGGGCCAGCCCTCCGGGGACTGCACCATATCAGCGCCAGGCTAGGGCACTGAGTGACTCCCTCCCCCACAGGCCTTGAAGAGGTAAGCAGCTCCGTGTGCCTGCGTAGGCAGAGAGCCACAGGGACCTGTGCGTGGCCTCCACAGCCACTAAGCGACTGACCCTCAGTAGTGTGTCCTCAAAGCCACTTCTGCCCTAAGCTGATGGGCAAGAAGCAGCGTCCCCCACTGAGCCTCCAGATGACAACGTAGCTGGGCCAACCCCATGACAGCGGCTTTCTGAGATCCTGAACAGAGCACCCAGCTAAGCCATGTAGATCCTGACCCACAGAAACTGGGGTGGGGGGGGGTGGGAGGGGCAGTGCTGCGGCACAGTGGGTTAACACCCTGGCCTGAAGCGCCGGCATCCCATATGGGCACAGGTTCTAGTCCCGGCTGCTCCTCTTCGGATCCAGCTCTCTGCTGTGGCCTGGGAAAGCAGTAGAAGATGGCCCAAGTGCTTGCGCCCCTGCACCCACGTGGAGACCAGGAAGAAGCTCCTGGCTCCTGGCTTTGGATCAGCGCAGCTCTGACCATTGTGGCCAACTGGGGAGTGAACCAGCGGATGGAAGACCTCTCTCTCTCTCTCTCTCTGCCTCTCCTCTCTCTGTGTAACTCTGACTTTCAAATAAATAAATAAATCTTTAAAAACAAAAAGAAAGAAAGAAACTGTGGGGTTGTCTTGTCAGTCAGCTGCTATTTTTATACAACCACCACCCTACACAAATATTCCCAAGACAGCAGCTTCTGGGTGGCCTACATCCGTGACCACTCAGCGTCATTCAAACCCCGCCACAGTCGCCACACCGGATGGCAGCAATCCCCCACGACCCAGTTCCTTAGTGGCTGTGGACTGGAGGCCACCCACTGCGCCCTACCCCATGGCTCTCTGCAGAGACGGCACAGAGAGATCTGCTTGCTTCTTCAAGGCCGGGGGCGCGATGCATGCGATGAGTAGGATAACAGTGTGACCACGAGGGACACCCCTGCGCCCCTTCCCAGACGTGCCACACACTCCACTCTGTGTCCCCTGCCAGAGCTGCTCACAGGCCCAGCCCCAGCGCATCACCAAGAGGAAGATGAGTCTCAGCGAATGACAAGGAGCAGGCAGGAAAAGCATCTGAGAAGGGTGTGTGGAAGCAGGCGACAAGACCAGATCAAGACGTCGTCACTCAGGGAAGTCAGCTGTCGTGCAGCGGGACGAGCCTGCTGCCGCCACCTGCCAGTTATGCAAGTACCACACCACCTGCTGATCAGCCGCAGCGTCACGTTCAAAGAACTTCCCAGTGTGCTTCTCGCGACGATCCTTTCAAATCCCTATCGTTACTCCTCTTGAATAGAAGAAACAGAAGCCCAACGGTTAAGATCCAAGTCAGACACAGTAAGTGGAGCCAGGTTTTCAGGACGTCCTACGTCATCCCAATACCAGTAAGGCGCACACAGGGCACGCCATCTCCAGAAACGCAGACTGCTTAGCTACAGAAAATGTGCTGCACACGCGCGTCCATGCAGCTGCCCCACTCACAGATCTTATGATTACACCCGAGGGTTCCTTCTCTTTCCAGAAATTCCCTTTCGTGAGTAGAATGAATACGGTGGTCCCGCTGTGTAAATTCGTTCAGACGTGAGCTGTGAACAAGCACGAACCTGACTCGTACATTTCTATGTAAGTAACGTTTCTATCAGACTTCCTGGCTGGCCCTACAGAAACAATTATCTTCTTAAGGGACAGTTTGGTGATTATGGTCACGCAAGTTCACAAACACTAGGGGAGCAGCAAAGAGAATGTCCAATACTTTATATTTAATAAACTTAACATAATCAGAGGCTACACTGGCACTTAGTGTGGAAAAACTTAATGTAAGTCACAATATTTATTTATTTATTATTCATTTATTTCAAGACATTTACTTGAGAGTTATAGAGAGAGGGAGAGGCAGCCAGGGCTGGGCCAGGCCAAAGCTAGATGCTTCCTCCAGGTCTCCACATTGGTGCAGGGGCTCAAGCACGTGGGCCACCCTCCACTGCTTTTCCCAGGACATTGGCTGATCCAGGGCAGCTGGATCAGGATCGGAGCAGCTGGGACTAACTGGTGCTCCTATGGGAAGGACACTGGCCTTACGGGCAGCGGCTTTACCCTCTATGCCACACTGCTGGCTCCCACATAGTCATTATGCTAAGTGTTCACTAATACCCTGCAGTCCATCACGGCAGATTTCTGTTAGAATATAACTCGTAAATGTTGTAGAGCTGAGGGGCCGTCGTGTGCGCTGTAAGCTGTCTTGTGGCATCTCTGGCTCTCCCCTCGGGATGCTCTGCTCGGGACAAAGTCCCCTGGCAGGCACATTTACCCACGGTGCACAGTATTTAAACACTCTTGATACTGTGCCTGCATTTCTACTTGAAAATTCATATTCCCTTAAATGACAGTTGCCCTTCCTTTTAAATTGTTACATAAAGCATTTAGAATAGTTAAAAGCTTTGAAATGTAAGATATTTATAATTACTTTACTCACAGCACTCAATAAGATGTCCCTACCTAGTAAGGCATTCTCAATGCTTTCTCTCGATTTGTTGGAGTTTTCCCATGACTTTCTCTCCTGGCTTACAAGGGCTGGTGACTCTTCTCAAAAAGCTCATTAAGGGAACAGAGTATGCGGAGTTGTTGTGACGCAATGCACACAGATCACAACACAACGGCTCGACAGACACGGCACAACTGGAGGGTTTGGGGACGGGGTGGGAAGACCTCTTCCTGGAATCAGTGGCCTTCTCTCCGGTTCCCAAAGCCACCCTGGGGTCGATCGCTCTTCAGGTGCAGCGAGCGAGTGCAGCAGCCAGGGAGCACCCTGACCTGTTGTCTGGCCATCCTGCCTCCTTACTGTCCTGGTAGAAATCAGCCACGTGGGCTCACCCACCATGGGAGGCTGAGGGGTTCAGGCTGGGCGGTTAGGGTCTGCCCTGCAGGAATCCCGTGGGAGTTTCGTGTATCCAGTCAGCACTGCCTTTTGTGGAAACCCTCTCGCACTCATTTCTTACACGGCTTCGTACCTGTGGGGGCTCTGGGAGGCGGGGGGATGGACCGGGCTGGGTTCCCTACAGTCACAGGGTTTTTTCCCGTGCGTTCAGTGACACAGCCCGAGGTGTGGCTTCCGGTATGGAGTCTCCCCATTCATCGCAACCAAGCGCTCCCGTGTGAGTTCTCGGATGCTCTCACGGCAGACAGCCTCCCACTCCGTCTTCACCAGGTCTCCTGTGTGAGTTCTCGGATGCACGGTGAGGCTCTCCCGGCAGACAGCCTCCCACGCTGTCTTCACCAGGTCTCCCGTGCGAGTTCTCGGAAGTGCGAGGAGCTGTGAGTGCAGGCAGGAAAGTTTCCGTACTCCCACGCGCGTGCTGGTCACTGGTGTGGGTCCTGTGTGCAGGACGGCGCGTCTGCGGCAGAGTTCTCCCCCGCTCTCTAACGGCGCTTCCTCCTCTGTGCACCCTGACCCATCTGGAGGTTCAACTTCTGCAGAAAGGTTTTCCAAACTCTACCCTGTGGGCTTCTCCCCAGGAGTCCTCTGGTGCAGTGAGGAGACTGGGGGTGAAGCCATCTCCCCACTGAGAACACCCGCAGGGCTCCCCAGGCGTCCTCTGGTGCAGCTGGTGTGGCTCCTGGGAGTCCTACTTCCTTTACAGTCACGTGGTCTCTCTGCCACGTGAGTTCTCTGGTGCACTGTGGGCCCGTTTCTGATGCTGCACACTCTACACTGCTGGGGTTTCTCGCCGCGTGAGCATTCCAATCTGCGCTCTGATCCAAGCTTCTCCACATTCCCCACTCACATTCCCCACCCCCATGAGTCCTCTGATGTACAGTGAGGGCGTCCTCAGGCAAACGCTTTCCGACGTGCACTGCACTCACGGTTTCCCCTCGTGTGAGCTCCGTGTACGCTGGGGCCTCACTTCGGGCAGGCTCTCCCATTCACTGCACTCATAGGGTTTCCTCCTGTGTGAATTCTGGGGTGCAGGAAGAACAACTTTTGACAGGAGTTTCCACATGCACTGCACCCCCAGGGCTACGACCCAGTGTGCACTCGTGACGGACAGGCAGGTCGGGCTCAGGCGAGCAGGGTCTCTCACGTTAGGGAGGTGCACGTTTGCCTTGCACGTACTCTCCGATGCTAATGCGGGTTCTCACATCCGCACGGTTTTCTGCTACATCCTGAGCTTGGTGAGGTCAGACTCTACAGGGAGTTTTCTCCTCACCTGAGGTCTGTCTTGCGCGGCGAGCGCTCACTGACCACACACACCGAGGACGGCCGCGGGCGACGTGCTCTGGTGTCCACGAGGGCTGCCGCCCAGCCTGCGCCTCGCGATGCTGAGCATGACGCCCACAGCGTCCGAGACTCCCCAGTCCTGCTATGAGCACTGTGTTTCTTTCCTGCACACATCTCATCAGGTTCACTATGGAGAGGCACGTTCTGACACATTAAAGTCAGCTCTGAATAGTTGCCATTATTTATAATCTGGGCCCAAATAAAAAATTGAAGTAAGTTTCATTTTGTAACATGAAGACAGCACTTTACTGAAAAAACCAAAGATGTTTACCTACTCCATGTGCACCACGTGTCCATGTGAGCACGAGGCAGGAGCAGAAGTCCAGACACAGGACACGGAGGACACAGACCACGGTGATGCGGTGCACGGCTGAGCCTCGGGGGTGAGCAATGACGCGAGTCCCAGAGGCAGAGCCTTTGTAACTGGGATTAGTGCCCGTGCCGAAGAGGCTGAGGGGTGCTTCTCTGTCCCACACACAACAGGTGCCACCTAAGAACGGGCCCTGACCAGACTCCGAATCCCATGACACCTGGTCTTGAACTGAGACATAGACCTCCACTGTTTATGACTTACCCACGCTAAGGTGCTTTGTTATAGGAGCCTGAATAGACCAAGCCAGCTTCCCTCACCCCTACACCCCACCACCACATCAGGTAATGCTTGCGGTAGCTGTTTACCTATACATCAATGGTAACATGTATGGGTATAGAGGAAAAGGTCACAAGGCATAGCAACAGATGAAAAACACAACTTGGGACGACAGAGCAAGCGTCAGAGCAGACGTGGCTGCGATGTTGGAATTAAAAAAAACTCCTCTGATTAATATGCTAAGGGCTCGCATCGATAAAGCAGAAAACATGTAAGACTGGATGAGCAGTGTAAGCAGGCTTAATTCCTGGGACCAAAAGGAAATGCTAGAGATAAAAAGTCCTGTAACAGAAATGAAGAACGTGTCTGACTGGTTTCTTAGACAACATGCGAGGAGAGGACTTCTGAAGATACGGCAGTGCAAAGCAAAAAAACTGACCATCAGACGGTGACTTCAGCAAGATGGCTGCCCAGAGAGCCTGGTGTTCACGTCCCACACACACACACCCAAATGATTAAACAACTGGAACTCCTGAAAAAGAGCCCTGGAGCACAGCAGGTGAGTGCCAGTGACCACATGCAACATGGAGACTTAGGCAGCCAACCCATCGCAGTCAGGATCAGCGTGGCACCAGGAGGGGCTCCCCCTGTGGGGAAGGGTAGGCAGGAGGAACCCGGCCGCCATCGGCATCACAAGCACCTGCGGTCTTGTTGGGGAGCCCAGCTGCAGGAGAGCCTGGGGGGCTGTGCGGCAGCACCGTCACACGGAGGCGCCCACTCGGTGCTGGCCCCTCCGTGCCCTGCCCTCTCAGGACCCAAGCTGCTTCTGCACAGTATTCTGGAAACTGCAGCCACCACTGAGGTGCACCCCACCCCCGGGACAGCACCCACACCTCCCCATCCCCAGCGCTTCACTGCCTTTGCTGTCCACTCACGTGCCCACCCTGGTCCCGTGGGAGCAGGGCCCGAGCCACAGGCTGCCCAGCCCCACACCTCTCTGACACTCTGCTGCTGTGCCCCATGGGAAGCAGCCTGTCCACCAGGCTACTGCCCCTCTGGAGGGTTCAAGAGACAGTACACCCCCTGTCCCAACAGCAGTGCCCCGGCCCCTTATGTCCAGCCCTTGGCACAACACACAAGGTAGCCCATGCCAGGGGGCAAGTTGCACGGCCCCCTTAAGTCTAAGGCACCGTGGCATTCGTGGACTTCGCTGACGTGGCTACAGCCAGGGAAAGTGCACAGGCCGTTACTGTGCACACCCACACTGAGGACCACGCATCCTACCTGTCTGACACCTGGGGCGCACCTGTAGGCAAAAGTCTTTCCCTACAAAGACCACAGAACTGGAAGAGAAGGCTGTTCCACCAGGAAGCACAGGCATGAATCTAGGGCCATGAGAATGAAGAGGAAGGAACATGGTATCACCCAAGAAATGCAATAGGTCTCCAGCAAGTGACCACACCCCCGAAATAAATTTACAAACTGAGTCCAAGGAAACTCAGCAAGATAAAAGAAATTTCAACTACAACTCAATGAAATCAGGAAAATAATTCATGATATGAACAAGAAATTCAATAGATATATATCTATATATCATAAAAAAGGGAATCAAACAAATCCTGGAGCAAAAGAATTCAATGAATGAAATAAAAAGCATAATTGAGAGCTGCAAGAGCTGACTATAAGATTAAAAAGAATTTCTGAACTTGGGGCCGGTGCTGTGGTGTCACGGGTAAGTCTGCTGCCTACAGCGCCAGCACCCGACACGGCTGGTTTGCGTCCTGGCTGCTCCACTTCTGAACTAGCTGCCTGCTAGTGTGTCTGAAAAGTAGTGGAAGACGGCCTAAGTCCTTGGGTCCCTGAAGCCAGATGGGAGACCTCCAGGTTCCTGGCTTTGGATCAGCACAGCTCTGGCTGTTGAGGCCATTTGGGGAACAAACCAGTGGAGGGAAGACCTCTGTCTCTCTGTAACTATGCCTTTCAAATAAATAAATAAATCTTAAAAAAAAAAAAGAGAGAGAGAGAGAGAAAGTACAAAAAGGGAAACAAAGGAAAGTTAGGGGTTTATCAGGTTTAATTCAGAATAAAAAAATTTGTGAACTAGAGGACACAGTTTTTTGAAATAACATAATCTGGAGAAAAGAAAACAGAATTAAAAACAGTAATGAAAGGCTGAGCTACAGCACAGCATGAAGTGTGGAGACAGAGGGAGAAGAGATGGAGGGAGACAGAAAACTTTTAATAAGATCATTACTGAAAACTTCTCAAGCTCAAGTCTTGGGAGACAAATCGACTTCCAAATCCATGAAGCTCAAAGATGCAAACCAAAGACACCCTCACTGAGGCACATTATAATCAAACTTTATTGTAACGAAGAGAGAAAGGGCCAGTTCTAAAAGCAGCAAGAGAAATGCTGCACCGAGTCACACACGAGGGAACCCTCATTATGCTGTCAGCAGATTTCTCAGCAGAAACTGCAGACCAGGAGAGAACAGGGTGACGTGCTCAAAGTGACCAATGAAAAAGCTGCCTAGATAGTACATCCAGGAAAGCCACACTTGAGAAGCAAAGCAGAAACAAGCGTTCTTCCCAGACAGGCAAAGGCTGAGGAAATTCATCACCATGAAAGTGGCCCTACAAGAACTGCTCAAAGAAGTTCCCTGGCTGGGGCCGGCGCCACGGCTCAATAGGCTAATCCTCTGCCTGCGGTGCTGGCACACCGGGTTCTAGTCCTGGTCGGAGCACCGGATTCTGTCCCGGTCGCCCCTCTTCCAGGCAGGCTCTCTGCTGTGGCCCGGGAGTGCAGTGGAGGATGGCCCAGGTGCTTGGGCCCTGCACCCCATGGGAGACCAGGAGAAGCACCAGGCTCCTGCCTTTGGATCAGCATGGTGCGCTGGCCGGGCGGCCATTGGAGGGTGAACCAACGGCAAAAGGAAGACCTTTCTCTCTGTCTCTCTCTCTCCCACTGTCCACTCTGCCTGTCAAAAAAAAAAAAGTTTCCTGGCTGGAAGCAAAATGATTATAATTATGATTATAATTATTGTCATGAAAACACATGAAAGCATAAATAAATCCCACTGGCAGAAGTAAACTCATTATCAAATTCTGAATATTTTGTTAATGTGATAGTTTATAATTTTACAAATCTCTAGTATGAAGGCTAAAAGAAAAAAAACAGCCATGCTTGGCCATTAACAATAAGTTAATGGTTAACAATAAGTTAATGGCCAGTGCTGTGGCTCACTTGGCTAATCCTCTGCCAGCAGCACTGGCACCCCGGGTTCTAGACCGGTTGGAGTGCCGGATTCTGTCCCGGTTGCTCCTCTTCCAGTCCAGCTCTCTGCTGTGGCCCAGGAGGGCATGGAGGATGGACCAAGTACTTGGGTTCCTGCACCCACATGGGAGACCGGGAGAAAGTACCTGGCTCCTGGCTTCGCAATGGCACAGTGCCATCCGTTGCAGACATTAGGGGAGTGAACCAATAGAAGGAAGACCTTCCTTTCTGTCTCTCTCTCACTGTCTATAACTCTCTCTCTCTGTCTCTCTCTCTCACTGTTTAACTCTGCCTGGCAAAAAACAAAAAACAAAAAACAAAAAACAAAAAACAATAAGTTAATGGCCAATGGCAACTGGAGCTACAATAAGTTGTTAATGATATATTATATTTATATATTTAATATGTATATATTTATATGCAATATAAAAAGGTATAAATTAAGGCCAATAAATAATATACTATGGAGAGTAAGAGTCCAGAGTCTACGTATGTGACCAAAGTTAAGTAATTAGCTTAAAATACCATTAAAATTATACTTCTTTCTATAAGCCCTGTAATAACAAATAAAAAATTACAGCAGATATAGACAAAAAGACAAAGGAATCAAACTGCGTCAGTACAGAAGACCACCGCCCCACAAGGTTAAACAAGAAGCAGAGGTATGCAAACAGAAAACAAGTGGACAGAGTCCTTGCCCTACAACAGAAGCCGGAATGTAAACGGACTGAATTCCCCTGTGAAGACAGGAGCAGCTGACTGATGACGCGAGACCCACTGCATGCTGCCTGCAAGAACTCACTTCCCCTGCAGAGACACACAGTGTAGGGAAGATGACGACGACATTCCACGTGAATGGAACCAGGGGCAGCAGGGGTGGCCACACTTACATCAGAACAGACCAAGTCAAGAACTGTAAAAAGACAACAGATGTCATGGATAATGATTTCTAAACAATTTATAATGAAAGTGATTACATTCATTTACAATTGTGTGTAATTCCACGGGGTTGGCTGGGACGAGCAGAAGCTGGGCCTCAGGGACTGAATTAACCTGCAGGGCGTGGGGAGGGGCACACAGGCCACGTACCGGAGGACTCTGGGATTCCCACACCGGGGAAAGCTGGGGTTTCCTGCCATCCAGGCATCTGCCTAAACAAACTCCTGGGAAGAAACTTCTCTGTCACAGAGAAAACCTGACAGGAGAGAGAGGATGAAGAAGGACGTTCAAGCTGCAAGCAGAAACTAGAGGAAATATAAAGGAACCAGAACTTGCCGAAATAAAACTCAATATTCATTCCCAGGTCTTCCAGGCAAAACATTTTAGAGAAATGGCTTTGTAGTAGGGATCAAACCTCGTGCTTTTGTAAAAAATGACAAATGATCAAAAATATCGTCAGCATCCGAGGAAACTGAGGGTGCGACAGGCTGCCCGGCACGCAGCGGGGCTTCTCTGCCCGCCGTCCCCTCGGTGCCCAGAGAACAAAGGCCCGTCTCAGTGAGTCACTGGCTTTGGTCTAACGGACTTCCATCCAGAAGCCCACATCTTTAAAAGAAATAGCTGCACTGACACATTTCAAAGGTAAAGTCAGGAAAAACAAAACTAAACAAAAAAAGAGCCTGCTGGATACCGAGTTTAATGTAAGCAAGAATCAGGTGGAAAAAAGAAAGTTGTCAACTGCTCAACCAGGCATTTCCTTAAAAGGAAAAACACTGAGTGCGAATGCTGAGAGCCCTGAGTGAGGGCAGAGCCAGGTGTGCGGATCTTCCCAGGGGCCAGGCTGGGCTGGACTTCAGACTGCGGCAGGTGCGCAGGGGCTAACTGAGCACTCAGACCAGGGCCTGCGGCTCCCCCTGCCACCAAGGGCAGTGCCTCCTCCGTGTGCTGGGTGCACGTGGCGTGTCAGATGGCAGGTCACTGCACCCGATTCAGCTGCGCTTCCAGTCAGCTCCCTGATATGGAAAGAGGAACCTAAATCACGTATGACCACATGGAAACTGTGCTTATTAACCACTGCCACAGATTCTTACTGCTGTTATTGAGGGGTGGGAGCTGCGTCCCCTTAAACTGGGGCCAACCTTAGAGTGGACTAAGAGGTGTGGACTAAGAGGCTCTGGGACTTCTGAGAGCCTACGCAGCCGCACATCTTCTGCCTGCGTCTCTTGGATGTTTGCTGTGGGAGCAGCCAGCCAACCCGACTGCGAGGAGGTCAAAGAGGTCACAGAGAGGGCTGGCTGCCTGCTCCAGGCTCACAGCCACCAAGTGCCCCTGCAGGGGGGACCAGGGACATAGTGAGGCAGTCAACCCATGCAGCCCTGTCCAGGTTTCTGACCCACAAAACTGACACACGAGAGGAGGTCCTTGTAGCGAGCAAGTCACATGTATGTACTGAAGGGGCAGAGACAAGGAGAGCTCTTGCCTGCTGGTCCACTCCCCCAGACGCCTACAACAGCCAGGGCTGGGCCAGCAACCAAGAACTCAGCGCAGGCCTCCACGCGGGTGCTGGGACCCAAAGACTTGAGCCAGCACCTGCTGCCTCCTAGAGTCTGAGATGGCAGAGAGCTGGGGATCAGCCCCGGGCACTCTCTAGGAAACACAAGCATCTTAATCCTGCACCTGCCTCTAAGGAGTGCGTTTTTGGTCCTCTGCTATGTCGCCCGTAATGGAAGTCTACACTAGAGACCAAGGTGAACATGCAGTGTGCAGATTCAGATCAAGTATCGGGTTCCAAAGACGAGTGCAGAGCATTTCACATCTCACTCTAGGTCCAAACTGTGACCGTGAATTCCAAATGTTCAACTGCGCTGCCACGTTCTGTTCTTAGCCAACTATTAACCACAGTTTTAACCCCGCAGTTATATCCAAAGCGTACACCTACTTTTCCCTACTCATTTGTAGGTCGTTATCTGGAATAGAATTAAATACAAACTTTAAAGGAGTTCGAAAACATGACAGGTTTTGTTTTGAATTACAGATACACACGGTATGCTAATGAGAACTACAGACATAATCACTGACATAGATTTATCTAGGCAAAAGGCAAAAATTCTGAAAATCCATGCTTGTTACTACTCTTCGCTCACCTTGGCACTGGCCCTTGTTCAAACACGTCCCACTAACTGAACTGCTTCTTCCTGCGGACCCCTAAGACGGCCGTGTGCTCTGGCTAGGAAGCTTGGCTCACTGAGAAAACACAGCCTTCCTGTTCTGCCAAGGACGACACTCGCAGCCGGACGGTCACCGTGTGCCGTGACCCGAGCGCTCCTCCGTCACTGGCCCTGCGTGCAGATATTGGCATCAAGTGAAGGAACTGAGGGGCTGACTCAGAGGGGCAGGACTGACCCACATGAGAGGCCTGAGAGTGCGCGAGCTGTCGGGAGGGATGCTACGTCAGGATCTGGGTCAGCGGCTGTGTGGCTGCAATACCACGGCCTGAGGAAGCCAGGAGGGCGTGGCTTTGGTCTTGGCTTCCTTGGGTGCAGGCGCCTTTCAGACAGCTACAAGGACGCACTGAACAGGAAGCGGAACCTGTGGTCTGAAGGCTGGGGAGAAACAGGACGGGCGGGCCCGGTCAGAACCGCAGCGTGGGGTGAACGGGGAACAGCGTGGGGACCTGGACGGCCGCTGTCAAATTCCAGAAGAGGGAAGGAACCATTCGTGAGGTCTGGACAGACACGAACACAGTGAGCTTCCGGACGAGGATGATGGCAGCTCAACGTGGCCGGGCATTCAGGTAAGGCCAACATAGCCCATGGGCACTGGATGGGATCATTTAGGTCAACAGTGAGGTTGACAAGCAATCAACTAACCCTCTGACTGAGTGGGTTAAAGGACAGGTGAGTACTGGAAACACTCGTCAGCAAATAAAACTCACACCAGTACGCTGCACCTCACACCAGTGCTCAGAGCTGCGACCACGTGAGGGATGTTAAGGGCTGCGGCTGACTCTAACCTCTGGACGTCTTAGGATTTACCAATGAATCTAGTACAGCCTCTCCAAAGCTCTCACCGTCTCCAACGTCCCTTACACGGGCTGTGCGTCAGCACTGGCCATGTCCACTGCTCAGGGTGTCCATTTCCAAGCTGCTGGGAAAAGCCTTTCCATCGCGTCCTGTTAGATCGATGGAGGCGGCGCTGCAGCCTGGTGCCGGCGAGCCTTCCTGTCCCGACGGCCCACCACGCTCTCCTCCCGGATTCCATTCCGCCACGGAACAAACAAGACCGGCCGCACTCCCGTCCTGACTCCGTGCAGACCGCGCACCAGACGCGCCCTGGTCAGACGCTCCGCCGTCTCACGGTCGCCTCCTTCCACGCCAGCCTCCTCTGCTTCCGCGCTTCCTTCAAGCTGGGTTTTACTCAACTCTGCCTTTCCACTTTGGTTCATGGGTCCCCGAAAGCTCATAAAATGCAACATAAAGCAAAATGAGGAATAAATAGGCAAGTGACTCGCTGGAGATTTATTTGTTGTTCCTGGAAATGCACAGAGCACGCTGCAAACAGCAGGGAGAGGTGAGCGGCGTGGATCAAAGACTCAAGTCTCCTAGGTTCCCCTGCCCCCAGATCTCCACGTGGGAGCTGGATGACAACGAGATAAAGGCTCCCCTGCGGGTGAATAATTACAGACACATCTCACAGGCAGGTTCACGAGGAGAGAGGAGACATGCGATCTGGACTGTTGGCCTCCGTGAGGGCTTCTACCACAGTGTGTCTTGCTTCTACAAGCACAAACCTAGACCTCACGGAAGGTACGCACCTTGCAATCCTACACGTTCTGGCCAGGATTTTAGAGGGAAACATAATGTTCACTTCCACAGTACCTGGTGCTGGGAGATCTCCCACTGGCTGATCTCGCCTGCACACGCAGGGGCAAGGTACTGGCCCAGTGCCGCCGGCCTTCCTGGCACAGTCACGCTACGAAGAGGCTGGAGACCTTTTGGAGACACAGGGCCTCCCTGAGTCCGCACAAGCACTGGGCGCGTGAATGACGCCGTCTTCAACCAACCAGCTTAGCCAAGGCCCTGGGTGACAAAGCCGCACCTGTGGCCCAGGAACACAAGCAGGAACCGAGCTCCCAGGTGAACGCGGATCAGAGACCCGAGCAAACGCCACGGTGGCTTTTTCAGGCCAGTACGTTTTGAAAGGTTTCGTGTCCAGAAAATGCTAACTGATCCATCTCAGCCACCAGAACTGAACACCAAAACTACACAGAGAGAGAATGTCTTACTTTACACATCAAATACAAACGCCAGAATTCACAACAGAATGCATGAATTCTGAAAATCACAACCAATGTCAACGGCATGACCTCCCTCCCTCCCTCCTTCCTTTCAGGATTTGTTCATTTATTCAAAAGGCAGAGTCACAGAGAGACAGAGACGGGTTTTCCATTTGCCAGCTGATTCCCTAAATGGCCCAACAGCCAGGGCGGGGCCGGGCCGGAGCCGGGTGCCTGGAGCTTCATCCAGGTCCCCCACGCGGTGCAGAGGCCCAAGCACGCGGGCCATTAGCAGAGAGCTGGATCAGAAGTGGGACTTGAACCGGCGCCCCTATGGGATGCTGGCGCTGCAGACAGGGGCTTACCCTGCTACGCCACTGCACCGGCCCAGAATTAATGACTTGCAAGGAGAAATAATCGACATTAAGTGGGAAATGGTTGTAGTATTAATGCCTTGAGGTCACATAATCCACAGAAAACGCTGGGGTTAATAAGCATGGGGTTGCTGAAAGCCCTGTTTGTGGCAGGTTAACTTCAGGTACAAAAATAATCAGCTACCCCCGCGCGGCCCCGCCCACATGCCCAGCCGGGCGCACCTGTTCCTCCGGACACGGGTCCAAACCCTCCAACAGTGTCCACCCTTGGACAGCTGATGGCGGAGTTCTCATCCGGCCAGGATCCTCCTCCCGCGACCCCCGTGCCTCCTCCAAAGGCTGGGGGGGGGCTCCGGCCGGTGGGGTTCCCATCACAGCCGCCCTTCTCAAACTGCACCCCTCCTCTACTCCCGGGAAGAGCGGCCCGCCATCGCGACCCCCGTCTCCTGGGGAGCCCGCGGTCCTGGAAGCTGGGTGTCGGCACCAGGAGGGCCCACGGCCGTCACGCGGACGCCTCGCGGTGACTTTCCGGGGGCTCCCGGGGGGCTCACTTTGCGGACGGGCGCACAGTGCCACACGGCGCCGCCCCCTCTCGCCCCCTCTTCGCGCAGCTTCCAGAACCAGCTATGCTCCCCTGGACGCACCCTCCATCACGGACAGCACAGCCCGAACCGGCTCCTGCCCAGACCCGGACCCCGGGATCCGGCGCCAGGTGGCTGCCTTCCCATGCGCCCCAGGCCCGCGGTTCGCGCCTACACGCCAGGTTCTGCTTCCACAAGCTGGGATAACCGGCCCGCTCCCCAGGGAACAATACGGTCCCTGGGCTCCTCTTTCACTCGCATCTAACTTAAGTGACTGCATCCAGCCCCGGAGCTGCTGCCCCGCTCCCGGAGCGCACCACGAACCGGAAGTTCCGGCGGAAGAGGGCTGGCTTGGGCGGGACGCACATGCGCAGACTCATCCCTGGAGGGCGACTACATTTCCCAGAACCCTCCGCGGCCCTCCCTTAGGGACCGGAGGCGGAAGTCGTATTTCCCTTCCCCGAGTCGGTTACCAGGAGACCAGAAACTAATGGATAGCTGTGGTCCCTTCCCACTGGGCGAGATGAGGAATTCTGGTCGCCGCCGGTTAAACGCTGCTTGGCAGACTGGGGCATCCTGAGGAAAGTGGGGAAATCCGAGCGTGGGGCAGTCAGTGCATGGTGTTCACAATAAGTTTGTATTTCGAGCTCTGATCAGGCCTGGGGCTGCTACAGAACCGCATCTGTCTTCATTCGGGGGCTCCCAGGTCAGGGCCGGGGGCTCTCAGGTCAGGGCCGGGGGCTCTCAGGTCAGGGCCGGGGCTCCCAGGTCAGGGCCGGGGGCTCTCAGGTCAGGGCCGGGGCTCCCAGGTCAGGGCCGGGGGCGCCCAGGTCAGGGCCGGGGCTCCCAGGTCAGGGCCGGGGGCTCTCAGGTCAGGGCCGGGGGCTCCCAGGTCAGGGCCGGGGCGCCCGGTACCCCTGGGCCGTGGACTGGGCAGCGCCCTGTGCCCCTGTCGGCGCATCCGCCTCCCCTTCCGTTTCTGTTCATTTTGAGCTGGACCTGGACGTTGCCTTCCTCTCCTGGCGTCTGCACGGACAGGGCCGGGAGCGCTGCAGGGCGTCTCCCCGGAGCTCGGCGGCGGCCGCAGGAGAGGCCCGAGGCCTGCCCGTCCCCTCCTGGCTCTCCCTAGCGCCTGGCCTTCCGGAACCCCGCGTCGCCTCTTGGTGACCGTCTGCGCTCGGACCCGGCCTGCCAGGCCTCCCTGCCCCAGGCCCCTGGAGCCCGGGGCTCCCTGCTGGGCAGCGTTGGCCTCCGTAGTCTCCGCTCTGCGAGTGCGGGCCTGGGTTCCCTCCGTGGCCCCGGCTTCCCCATCAAGTGCAGACGGAGACCTCGTCCCGCTCGGCTGTGGCAGTCCCACGCCCGGAGGGGAGGCGCCCAGGACACCCGGAGGGAGTTTCCAGGGTCGCCTGCATCGCAGTTTCCGTGTTAAGGTTTACGCGTTCGTTGGTGAAGTCTTACCCAAGAATTTTCCTCTGGGTTCGGAGGTAACTGGAATCGTTTCTTTCATTTTGGGGTTGTTCATTTCTTGCGGAAGGACGACCTTTCTCTCTCTCACTGTCTAACTCTGCCTGTAAAAAAAAAAATACAGTTGGTTTTTGTGTACTAAGTTTGTGTTCTGTTGCTTTCTCTAGTTGTGTTATTTCTGGTTTTTATGGATTCCCTAAGGTCTCGTCCTCTGTGTGAGAGGATGGTTCTGCCTCTTCATTTCTCGTCCAGATGCCTTCCATTTAGTTCTGTTGCCAAAACTGCTTCTCATGCCGTGAGGATGCCGTGGTGAGAGCTGAGGTCACCTGGTTCCTGATCTCGGGGCAGGAGTGGACGGATGTGTGCTAAGTGTGCTATCAGCTGTGGGTCTTTCTACGTCCTTTGTCAATCCACGGCTACTCCCTTCTCTTCCTACATCGTTGGATGTTTTCATCAAGAAAGGATTTCGGTTTTTGTTAGGCTTGTTTTCTGCTCTATTGAGGTGGTCATGGGGCTTTATTACCGCATTGATACGGCATACTGCATTGAGTGATTCTTTGCTGTTTGGTTAACAGCCTTGTGTTCCCGCGATGAATCCGACTTGATCATGGGCATAATTATTTCAATCGGTTGCTGGATTGTTTTTAGTTTTGGGGGGATTTCCCATATACAGACATAAGATATATTGGTCTGAACACTTGTTTTCTTGTGATGACTGTGTGTGATTTTGGTGTCATGGAATACTGTCTAATAGAATGAATTGGGAAATTACTGCTTCTACTTTTTGCAAGATTTGGGAAGAACTGATATGAAATCTCCAAATGTTTGGTAGTATTTATTCGCCAGTGAAATTTCTGAACCATGGACGTAGTCTTCTATTTCAGTTAAAAATAAGCAGTGGGCCTTTGGTACAGCGATTGACATGCCCCGGGGTTGCCTTCCTGCCACACTGCAGTGCCTGGCTTTGAATCTTGGCTACTCTGCTTCCTGTACACCTTCCTGCCAGTGCACACCCTGGGAAGTGTGGTGATGACTCAAGTAGTGGCCTCTCTGCAGCCCCAGTTTGAATTCTGGGCTCCCGGCTTCAGCATGGCCCAGCCCAGCTGTTGTGGCATTAGGGAAACGACCAGTGGACGGAAGATATTTATGTGTCTTTCTCTGTCTCTCTCTGCCTTTTAAATAAAAGGAAAATAAATAAATAACAACTAAGAGAAACAACCTACCCAAGCTTCTCAGAATTGACCATGTCTGAAGTTTCAGAAGCGTCCGTATAAAAGAACGACACATTCGGTGGCTGGGTCGTCTCCTGCACCCTGCCTCCCGCAGCCCTGGATTGTGGTGACGGCACTGCCAGGTCGTCGTCTGCCCGGGACTGTCCTGGGCCGGCAGCGTGACGCCGTCCTCCGAGCTCTGAGCCGCTTCCTGCGGGAGTGCCTCGTGCTTTGCTTTCAGGACAGATCCCTTGAATCCTGCGGCAGCTTAGTCTTGCTGGCCTGGCCTTGGCTCTTGCACTTCTAACAGCTGCTTCTGACCCACTTGGGAAGTTCATTTGGAAGCCAATCTCATTCCCGAGGCTCCGGGAGGCAGCCCTCCGTCATGGCTCGTTTTCATCCTGTTACTAGCACGTTCGTGTCCGCTGCAGAGTTATTTCATCTTGGAAGTTATCAGGGATTTGTACCACACTTCTGGTAGAGCCCTTGCTCCCTCAGCGTCACCTCCCACAGTTGGGGCACAGCCCTCAGGGGACGGAGTTGACCTCAACATCTGCTCCCACCTGCAGGTCTTTGGACTGATGATTGTGAATGCTGGGCTGCACACCTAGAACGTGGAATCTCATTTTCCCCAGTTCTAAATTCTCAATGAGTATGCATGCTCTCAGAGCCGTGAAGACAGGACGAGCTCTGTCCAGACAACTCCGCTCTCTGCTGGGGGATCCGCGGACGGAGCGGTCTTGCCCTCACTCAGCTCAGCTTCTTTGTAGGGAGGTGGGGAGGCCGTTAGGCGCCGAGAGCAGGCGGCTGGTAATGCCTGCTGCCTCAGGTTTGAAACAGGAAAGTGGAATCCCCGGTCCTTCAGTGCATTTGCAGCACGTGGTGCAGGGACCGTCGGGATGGCTGCCCCTGCTGCCTGCTTCGCTCCCCATGTCCCTCGGGCTGCTGCAGCCGCTTCCCCTCCCTCACTCTGCACGGCCGCGGGTGTGCACTGCCCGGCCTCTGTGCTACACCTCGTCCTTTCGTCCTTCCTTTGGGAACATGCCACCCTCCTCACTCTGGGTTGCCCCCCACTTTGAGAAAGAGACGTGATTTTTTAAAGATTTATTTATTTGAAGGAGAGAGAGAGAGAGAGAAAGAGAGAGAGAGAGAGAGAGAGAGAGAGAGATATCTTCCACCTGCTGGTTCCCTTCTGAAATGGTTACAACAGTCACAGCGGGGCCAGGAGCCAGGAGCTCCATCCAGGTCTCCCACATGGGTTCAGGGGCCCAAATCCTTGGGCCATTTTCTGCTGCTTTCTCAGGCCATTAGCAGGGAGCTGGATCAGAAGTGGAGCATCAGCCAGCGCTGTGGCTCACTAGGCTAATCCTCCACCTGTGGCGCTGGCACCCCGGGTTCTAGTCCTGGTTGGGGCGCCGGATTCTGTCCTGGCTGCTCTTCTTCCAGGCCAGCTCTCTGCTGTGGCCCGGGAGTGCAGTGGAGGATGGCCCAAGTGCTTGGGCCCTGCACCTGCATGGGAGACCAGGAGGAAGCACCTGGCTCCTGGCTTCGGATTGTCATAGCGCGCCGGCCGTGGCGGCCATTTGTGGGGGGTGAACCAATGGAAGGAAGACCTTTCTCTCTGTCTCTCTCTCTCACTGTCTAACTCTGCGTGTCAAAAAAAAAAAGTGGAGCATCTGGGACTCCAACCAGTGCTCATATGATATGCCGGCACCACAGGCTGCAGCTTAACCTGCTCTGCCACAGTGCTGGCCTCCTGCCTTTTAAATTATTGATTGACTAATTGATGATTTTAATGATGCAATTCTTGTTGCACATCTCCCTTCCTCTGCTGATGCCCAAATGAGACATTTTGTTAAAAAGATTTATTTATTTATAAGTCAGAGTTACACAGAGAGAGGAGAGGCAGAGAGAGAGAGAGAGAGAGGTCTTCCATCTGCTGGTTCACTCCCCAGTTGGCCGTAATGGGTGGGGCTGCACTGATCTGAAGCTAGGAGCCAGGTGCTTCTTCCTGGTGCAGGGGCCCAAGCACTTGGGCCATCTTCTACTGCTTTCCCAGGCCTTAGCAGAGAGCTGGAGTGGAAGAGGAGCAACTGGGACCAGAACCAGTGCCCATGTGGGATGCTGGCGCCACAGGCGGAGGATTAACCCAGTGCACCATGGCACCGGCCCCATTTTTTTTTTTTTAATTATTAATTCTGAGTACCATGTGTAGAACAAGACAGATGGCAATACATAGGAGTCACACCTGGCCAGGGGTGCACCTCGCGCACTGTGAGACCACCTGTGGAGGGTCGAGAAGATGCAGACAGGAGCTGAGCCGAGCTCGGGGTCTGTGTGGTCACCGTCACCGTCACCGTCCGCAGGCCTCGAGTCCCTCCGGTGTTACGCTGCCGCGTGTGGCACAGGTGCTGGCTGATGGACGGGCTCACCCACGCCTGCCCCGTGCTCAGCTTTCAGCCATCGCTGGGCATTGTGGCCCCAGCCTGGGTCCTCTGCATTCTGTTGCCCCTTGCCTGGGGTAGGGGGCGTTTGTGACTTGGCTGTAGGCGCCTAGGTGAGGGCCAAGGTCCAGCTTTGTTCTAATAAGTGCTCAGTGCTTGGGCCTGTGTCGTCGCCGCTCCTCTGCCATGTGGCACCGAACTCTACCAGGGAGGCGAGTCCTGCCTCTCCCTCCACGCACCTGCCCTAGATTCAGCCGAGGACGGCTTGTTGTCTCCTCGGTGGACAGGACGTGTGCCTCTCCCTTTCCCCAGCTGCAGTGGGTTTAGCTGTGTCTTTCTTGTGGGTTTAAGTGTTTTGCTTTGGGAGGCTGGGTGGTGAGATCCGGCCAGGCCCAGGCAGCTCGGTCCCCGCTGCATGCTGCCTTTCCCA